CCCACCCATGACTGCATCAGAGGAGGAAGGTATCTTCTCTGCTCAAGCCTGGTGCATTGGACTTCAAGGGTACCACTTAGACGGTATGCTGGATGGGCCTGGACTTGTGCCTAGAGCTGCCTGGAGGATGGCTAGGTAAGAAGAGGGCTGTGCTTAGAAGTAACTACTCTCCTCCCAATCATGGATCCAAGGTGAACGTTTACTAGAGTGTACACTTCAGCCCATGGACACAAGAAACAGCCTAGTTTGTCTAAGATCCTGCCTCAAATGGTTCCCTGGAGGGGCAAGAAGCCCTCAGTGGAAACAGGTTGTAATCATTAACCTGAGGTCCCGTGGCTGGAAGTGGAAATAGACATGGGAGATGCATCAAAGAACAGCAGGTGAGAGATCCCCAGCATTAGTGAGGAGCGGGGAGATTTCCAAAGAGCCCAAAGGTAGACTGAAGAGAGAGTCAGCTTTGATCGCTTGCCAGGCCAAGGGATCAGTAGTTACAGTTTATAACAATATCTGCCTCTTGCCTCTTCTGCTTCCTCCACACCCAGCCCTGGAGGGTTCAGAGGCTGAAATGCATGGGGTGGTGAGGACCGAGAAGGAGCTGACCACCGCCATCATTCCCACTGCAGCAGACCTAAGCCAGAGGAGGGGAGAAGCTTGGAGCTTAGGTGATTACAGTGATCTGATCATATCTGTTATTGATCTGGGACTATCTGAGAGACTAAAATGATTGGATGACTTATTTGGTCTCTCGGCAGTCTTGGGATCTGCAAAGAGAACAGAGATAAAAAAGCTCTCAGGTTGAACTTCAGTGGTCACTGGGGGAAACAAAGAGACCTGTTTTCCACAGCCAGTCCACAACCCCAATTCCTGCTTGTTCAACCTAATAGTTACATCAGCACAGAGAGGACTGAGACATGAATGATGCACAAAGTTCACACAGACAATGACTTTGGAACTGGGCCCTTAGGGAGGCTGGGGAATTACCAGGCAGAGAAAAAAGAAGGTGGAAAAGCATGTGTAAAGTGTAGCAGTGTGGAATTCTGTGCTGGGTTTGTGAGGCTGGAGCACAGTGGAGCAGGAGATGAGGATGAAAGTTAGGTGGGGCCTGGACTAAGGGGCCTCGGATTACAGGCTAGACCTCCACGGGAAGCCATCGGAGGTCTTGAGTATGGAGGGAGCATGATGTGATTTCTGTGAAGGAATGATGCTGGAGTTTCTGTCACTGACATCCCTATGTATGGTTCTTGCCTCTTAACACCCTGGTCACAGGCAGTCCACTGCTGTGAGACTTGATTTCTCTTTCTTCAGCATCTCATCGTTATTATACTATATCACCTCCCACATAGGCTACTGCAAATGCTTCCTGCCTCCATAAGCAAACCATGTCAATACTCCCATCCCCTTAAGTTCACCTGAGGTCAGCACTCAATACCTGTGATGGTCCAGTAACCAGGACCGTGAAAACAAAATCAGCTAGAAGAGTGTGGAGGAGAAGAAAGAGGCCAGTGCTTGGGCCGAACTCACTAAATTCTAATGTATAAAAAAAATCAGTCATCTGGAGGAAGGAACGTGCATTACAAATGGAATAAAGCTGGAGCAAGATCAAGAAATAGAAAAAAACCCAAGAATCTTTTAACCTATAGTCAGAGAGTGACAGGGAAGAAAATGGGCAGATAATTTAATAAATGGATGTTGGGAAGAAACATGGGCCAAACAGAATCACACTGGTTTATATTTACGACCTGTAAGAGCAAAGCCATGTGGTGAATGAAATCAAGATCAAGTCTGATTCCTCTATGTGAGTCCTGGCTCTCCCATAGGTGAGAGGGATATTTTGGATAAGTTACTCAACACCTCTATGTCTGCTTTCCACATCTGTAAAATGGGGCTACTAGAGCACCTACTTTATAGGTTTATAATATATAATTATACATAATCCTATGTAGATGTATATCTGTGTGCATATGTGTGTCCGTGTGTGTGTGTATCTGTGTGTGTGTGCATGCATGCACCTGGAATTTTAAGTGTTCAATAAAGAGTAGCCCTTATTACTTAGACTAAGAGTATTCTGTCTGTGCTTGGACATTTTTTCCGCAACTAAGCTCTATTTTGTAATCAAGCATACTTTCTCAATTGCTGTTAGACTTACTCTTTGATTTAGTTAAGATATAATCATCTTGGAGACTTTTACTGAACATAGAAAAGGTAATACATAGGTAGAGCAAGCAAACAAACAATAATCCTCAAAACTAAAAGTCCAAAATAAAGCAATGTTTAAAACATGCCCTGTGACCAATAGGAATATGGAGATATGCTTACGCTCTTTAATTGGTTATATTTAGTTTTTGTTTCAGATGCCACAAATTGAAGGAGAAATATTTAATGAAGAAGTTGCATACAGTTTAAATAAACAATTTTTATTGCTAGAACTCCAAATCACTTGGCAAAAGCAACTTTTTAATGCTCAGATATTTGAGCCAGAAAGCAAAAGGGTGGTCATGCAAATGAGGTAAAATGATAATTCTTAGATTCCATTATTGCAAAATTTTAAAGAGAATTTTCAAAACAAAACATCAGAGAAAAATTTCTACCTGATAGCTGTCAAAGAGCATGATATATATCATTGCTACAGTGTTTTTTTTCCCCCCACAGGTCACTAGGCAAATCTCAAATGTATGATTGGTAAGTTTGGGAGTAAAATGATGGACCACAAAGCAAAATTATTAACCCACACAAAGTCGTAATTTAATTGAACATCACTGCTGAAGCAATACCACATTTCATGCATTTTTATCAGGGGTGGTACTAAAGTACAATCCATTAAGAAACTGAATGGCTAATTAGATTAGTATAACAGCTTGTAAAACAAGGCATAAAAATTGCATTTGTATAGTAAAGGGTACTGAGTCCAAATGATAAATGATCACCATGGGAAAAGGATGTGAATCCCAGGCCCTGAGGTCCCCACATGTTTCCTGGGTTTTCATGTCTTCTTGCCGATGTTGAACAACATCAACAGAAATCCTTCTTAATCAAGTGGTAGTGGGATAGGACGTGGGATATCCTCACAAAGGTTCTTCTCTACACCCATATGAAAGGAATCCATGGACTCTCTTTCAAGGGACCAAGGTTTTAGAGTCTTTGTCAGGATGAATTTCCATAAGGTTTACTGGGTGTTGTCTCACACTGAGCAAGGATGATTCCTGTTCCTAATGCCAATCGGTGTGATTTCATGAACCACAAGTAGATTGTCTAGCGCTTGGTTTGTTAAACAAGAAGTTATTGTGTCAGGGGAGTTCCTGTGTTGAAGGGTATAAATAATTTGGAATCTTTTTTTTTTAATTCGAAAACATTATTAAAAGGAGGTGAGCATCTTAGATGTTTATGTTCTACTTGCTGTTCCTCTTGTGCTCTCACCTCCTTTGTGCAGCACAGGGTACCAGCGAGTCACATTTTACAAATTCCATAAGCTGTATTTGCACTCTATTTTCATATACTGGAAACTTGAGAGGGCCCAGTTGAGGGTCTAATGACATCCTTTATATTGCCTCAGCACAACTTCTTCTTCCACACACTCCGGGCAGGCAAGCCTATGACTTCAATGTCCATTCAAAAGGTTGATAATTGCCAAACTTCCTCTGAGTTCCTGATTGCTTTATCTAACCTCCCACCAATTATTTCTTCTCGCTTGTCCCCAGGATTATCAAGATCAACATGTCCACAAGGTATGGTGGACAACCGTTAATAATACCATATTGCATATTTGAAAGTTGCTGATAGATCCTGAAAGTTCTCATCACAAGAAGAAAATTTTGTAAACACGTGAGGTGATGGATATTAACAAAACTTACTGGGATGATCATTTTGCAATATATGCAAATATTAAACCATTACATGGCACACCTGAAGCTAACATAATACTATACATCAAGTATATCTCAATTAAAGAAAAGATCACCATGGCCAGAGTGAATTCATCAACTTCTGTGAACCTGCTTCTCCTTCTATGTTTGTTTCCATGAATGGCACTGCCATCCACCCAGCTGCCCAAATCCTGTGTTCACCACCTGCTATTCCCCCATCATCTCAATCAGTCCTGAATCTTCTCTATTCCCTCTCCTAAAAATCTCTGAAGTCCATCCACATTCTCCCCTAAGTCTGGCCAACATGGTCTCCCACTGGATTTCTGTTACCGGCCTCCTCTGTGGCTCCCCTACCTGCACTTTCTCCCTTCCATCCCATTTTCCATCCTCAAAGGTATATTTAAAAAATAAAATCTGATGGTCAGACTTATTTGGAGCAATTCAGTGACTCCCTATCACCTTCAGGATAAAATTCATACTCCATAGCAGCTTGCAAGATCTTCAAGGTTTTGTCACGGGCCTTATCTCCACATTTAACTATCAAAAGTCTCAACTCAAAATCTGTTAGACAATAGATTGAACGTTGTCTAAGACCTTGCTCTGTGCTCTTGCCGTCCAGGCCTTATATATATGATTTCTGATTCTAGAAACAGTACTCCTCCCATCTGGCCAACTCCAAATTACCTTTTGGTCTCTGCTCAGATTCCCAATCTGGAGCACGTTCCTAATCCCTTGAGACTGGATTCGGTATTGTATATTGTACTTCCAGAGCTCTAAACTTTCCTAGCAAATCACAGAAATTATATTGTTTTGTATTTGCATGTTGACATGTCTAACTACCCCCACGAAGTTGACAGCCACGTGAAGGGAAGAAACATATCTGCCCTTTTGTGGTTATACTCTCTAGGTTCAGTCCAGGACACAGCACAGTGGGTCCTCAAAGATACTTACTAAATGGATGAATAAGTCAGTGTTTTTTGTACCAATGACTCCCCATCCTTAAAAGAGAAGGTAACATAAATAAGAGTATTACTTATTCCTTTACTAGTGGATTTGGTAAGAATGGTTATCTTTGTCTGATCTGGTTGATTAAACTTTAGGTTTTAGAGGGAAGGAGAAGAAACAAAAAAGAGCTCAAACCTTAACTGTAGCTCCTGGGAAAAAAAGCCAGTTGCCCGTGTCTACTGGATCAAGACTGTCTTCTAAAATGACTTGTCTGTGAGCTGAGTTGATGATCAGGATGTTATCTAAGGCCCAGCAGGCTTCATACACTTCGCCTACATGGAGACTTTCCTGCTTCCACTGAAACTGGACGTTCTCCCCTTTGGTGTCTTCAGGAAGGTAGAGGATGTGTATGATGGTGCTGACATTGGAAGGGGCTCTGGAATATACGGTAAGATGGGAATTGGTGCCACATAATAAATAAACAATGATGCTCAATGGTATCCATTTTTTCTTTTTTGTAGATCAATTTTGTTTTTTAATTAAGATTGTAGTTTCATTAGCTTAACATGATACATATCACAGATTAAATACTCATAATCCTACAGCCCTTAAATCTTTTAGTATATGCTGATGATTAAGATGTTCCTATTAAGTGATGACAGTTTAAACATTAAACGTCTTCGAGAGCTCTTCTCTTAACACAAAGCAGACACCGAGTATATTCAAGTAAGCCAGTAAAGGAATAATCAAAGAGAAAATGCACACACTTGATGGTGTCTGCAAAAAATCAAAGTGTCTGCAGCACAGTTTTTTGCATGTCGTAGACACTCAATCACAAAAAACTCAAATAATCTCACAGTTGATTTTATTTGATACTAAAAAGGAAAAAAGAAAAACTGTAAAATTGACTTCTTAATTTTGATTCTTTTCTTGAAATTTTGTATCTATGCTATTTCAAAATCTGTGTTAATAATTACTTTGTTTCTAGTAACCAGATACATTTTTATTTGTTTTGTCTATATCAGTGTGAGATTTGCCATGAAAATTAAACACTCTATATAATTCTTTACAACTTGATGCAGATCAATCTTTAAAAGCTTGATATAATTTAACATGATTTTTATAGTATATCTGTTAGAATCTAGGCCCTTCTGCTATGTGATAAAGTACTTTTATTAAATATTTTATCCTACCAAAGTAGAAACCTGCTATAGTAAAAATGATTGCTTTAGCCAAGATTAAAAGTGGTACTAAAATGCAAACTAGTATTACCCTGGGCTTACTATAAATCAGTTTTGAAAGGACTACAGAAAAGACATATTTTTCACTCACCAATGAAGCACATATATATCCAAAGAATTGTCAGTGTAGGTTATAGATGGTGTACCTTACCTTTGGGGGTAATCAATTGCCTTTTCTTTTAAAATATTGCACAATGACTATGTTTTTAGCTTCAAAAAAGAATTTAAACCAATGAAAATAGTACATTTTAGTTTTAGGAAGTGACTGAAAATATGTTCACTCTGATCACTACTACTGGTAAGGAAAATTTGCATTAATGAGCATGATAGCTTGGAGCACGGTCTAAAATTGAAAGTCTCATTTAGTGAAAAACCAAATGGAGTCAGCTGAATGTGATCTTCATATGTTGTAATTTAATGTGTACATTCACTATTTGTCATATCAAAAATGTGTAGCTGTTTTCCAGCAAGAAATGTCTACTACAATTTACCTAAACTATAATACATAACTACTGGATAGAGAAAAAAATGGAGGTTAGGACAAAATTTTCAATATGCTGCCTTGTTTACAGCCATTTATATAAATAAGTATTTAATATGAATGCATTTTCATAATAACTACTAGAAATTAGGAAGAATAGCAAAATGCTGTTATAAAATTGACATAGCATGTCAGAGCTTGGCTTGTACCCAGTCCTTACAGATTATATGGTATCTGCCTCAGAGAGAGATAGTCTATTAAAATCCATGAGGTAGGGGCCCCTGGGTGGCTCAGTCGTTAAGTGTCTGCCTTTGGCTCAGGTCATGATCCCAGGGTCCTGGGATCCAGCCCCACATCAGGCTCCCTGCTCCACCGGGAGTCTGCTTCTTCCTCTCCCACTCCCCCTGCTTGTGTTCCCTCTCTCGCTGTGTCTCTCTCTGTCAAATAAATAAAATCTTAAAAAAAAAAAAATCCATGAGGTAGAATCACTTTTCTCAGTTTCTGGTTGGAGTAGACCTTGGACATGTGACAGTTTTTTAAATTTGAAATACGACTAGAAACTTTGGGCAGATTGATTTAGCTTTGAAGACTAAGAATTTAAAGACTAATATTTACTCTTCTTCCCTAAATAAATCGCAATTCTTTCAATAGGGAAATACGGTAAGGAAATTAGCATGTGAAGAAAGAAAACTGTACAAAACTGATGGAAAATGTTCTACTTGAGTTATATGAATTTAAGAACTAAACCAATCAGACTAACTACTTTATAAAAGTCCAAGGCAGTTTTTTCTTTTAAATATCTTACCAGACCTAAAATTAGGCATCCATTTTGTTTTATGATTTAAACTCTGCAGAAGGAGTAAATATCATTTGTGTTTTGCTAATTTAACCAAATTTTTTCAACTTGAGTGAGCTTCTTCTTTAAGCATCCTACCTCATTTCCTTATTGAGGGATTTTTTTTTTAAATAAAGAAAATATAATAAAATGACTACAAGTTGCATCACAATTATGATAATAGAATTTTAGAACCTGCCTTTGGGAGGTTGGATGGGAAATGACAGAACTAAAGATTAGATGCAAAAGCCCTAGTGGCTATGAACTCGTTACCATCCCAGACTGGAAGGAATTTATGCGGTAATCTCGTATATTCCTAGGCCTTGGAGTCAGCCCATAGCCACCTAGAGAGTAGAGTGATGTTAATTTGTGGAGGATTGCATCCTAAAAGTTATTCTCTCAAATATGCTTTTATCAAAAATGGTTTGTTACAGCTACTATGAACTGTGGGAGGTTCTGAATGGAAAATGACACTTAACAATACTTCTTCAAACAGGGCAGAGAGTAATATGTGCAGGCATGTAATTCAGTGTAATTAACAACCAGAGTACTTGACCATGCAGAATAAAATCGGTGGTAGAATGAAGGCAAACCGGGAAGTAGAAATCCACTTACGTCAGGATTTATGAAACTACTTGAAATGATAACAAACCTAATTCTCTCCAGCTGAATCCAGTCTCCGGTATTATTCTTGGCATACGACACAATGATGCTGGGGTCTGAGTAACTAAAGCGACATGAACCTGAGCCTGTAAAGAGCAATCACAGTAAGTTTCAAAGTTAAAAAACAGCGTAATGCATATTATCCGTCCTCCTAAATGTGAGACGATTTTGTAACAATTTACATATTTATTTAATTGCTTCCCCATTCTTCCAACTATGCTGAAATTTCTTTGGTTCTGATTCGGTTCCCAGTTCTGAGAAATACTATTGGATAAATAACTTTAGGGATCAGGAAAAAGGCAAGAAAACTGCAGGTTTCTAGAGAGATATATGAGTAAACTAAATTATAAAAGAAACACTTAGTTCTATGCCGAGAATATATAAATATTCTCGAATGATTAATAATGTCATTATGGTTCTTGCAAGTTAATATTAATTAATAGCGATCGCATTAAATGGTATATAAGTCATTAAATGGAACGAGGACTAAAAGCACCATTCTTCTGTGTGTGTGTTATTTAAATGATTAGATGGCATGTGAGAAACTAAAATACTGCAAAGAAGGGCGCCTGGGTGGCTCAGTTGGTTAAGCAACTGCCTTCGGCTCAAGTCATGATCCTGGAGTCCCGGGATCGAGTCCCACATCGGGCTCCCTGCTCAGCAGGGAGTCTGCTTCTCCCTCTGACCTTCCTCCTTCTCATGCTCTCTGTCTCTCATTCTCTCTCTCTCAAATAAATAAATAAAATCTTTAAAAAAAAATACTGCAAAGAAAATTCAAGTACTAAATGAATAAGAACTATTAGATATGATCGATATTATTCTACTATAGCGCAACATGAAAGATTTAAAACACATTATGTCCCGTTGTGAACATTTGGTGATTATTTCTCACTCTGATTTTCCATATTGGAAATATGACCAAAGAAAGTTTTAAAACTCTGACAAGGATTTGTTTCTATGCATTCAATGAATTCACATAATAAAACACAGCATGACTATCATTTCAAAGATCTTCTCAGAATACCCTAAACAGCCATGAAGCATATGCCAGAAGTAAGTGAATAGCAAGATTTTTTCATACTATATTAAAAACAAATGAACCAACAGAAGAAGAAATAGTGCAATTTATGTTTAACTTTCATCCATCTGCTAGAGGAGCCTCGGTTTCAGCAAATGGCATCTGTTGACGGTTTTAACATTTGTAGTTCTCAGGAGTTCCAAGCTTTAATAGACTCATTTATTTTATTTCAGTGGTGTTTAGTACAACACCAGTTAATCTGCAATCGCCAAAGCTGGCAATGTGCTCAAAAGCCAAAAGGCAGCTTTCCCAGACTTATTCTCACAGCCAAAATGTGGGTGCAAAAAGTATAAAAGAAAGGGTATTCGAAGGACAGCTCCCCAGCAACCCTACACTCAAACACAAACCCACCGTATTCCATTTTGATCACTGCTAAAGTTTACCTTTCATAAGCAGCTGCTTAAAATAAATATCAAGCTGTGAGGCTGGAACTGGAAGGGGCCAGGATTATGGGGACAAACTTCAATACAAACAAGAAGAGGGACTGGCAGACAATCTGTTTATTTCAAAACAAAGTTCAAATCAGCCTAAAGAATTTCAATGGTATGTATGTGCCTCCTTCATGTTGTATACACCATAAGGTCTTTTTTTTTTTTAAGATTTTATTGATTTAACTGACAGAGAGAGAGAGAGAGACAGCAAGAGAAGGAACACAAGCAGGGGCAGTGGGAGAGGGAGAAGCAGGCTTCCCGCCAAGCAGGGAGCCCGATGCGGGGCT